TCTAGGCAGTGTTAACTCCTAACTCTTGCTTGTAAATTCCTTCAACAGCCCAGTTGTCATTAACAACACCTTACACTCGAAAGAAACACCATAAAGGTAATATTTTGCCCAATGGAAGCTGCACATATTCTTAGTTCATGCTGTAGCCTCAACATTAACAGATATATTAGACTGTGTACAGACAATCAGCAAAAAACAAGCTTTTCATCTTAGTAAATACGACAACATCACTAGTAATCAAAATAGAGCTAGGAAGAGGCTCAAACACGCTGCTGAATTGCATTGAATGTTTCCAGGTACAGCCTGAGTAAGGGAATGGGAGAAGCACAGAAGAAACCATTCTGTTTTGACAGAGGAGGAGAGAAAGATAAGTAGAATTCAGTGATATAAACTCTTCTATAGTGTTTACCTTCAGGGTCAGAAGTTAATGTAGATTTCACCACAGACAAGATTAAGCTGTTGCCTTTACAGAATTAGCAAGGATTCAGATGAACCATTTAACTCCCTCAGCTATGGGGATGGTAATCACTATACCATGCAACATGAGGAAGGTAATCACTAGATGATGGGTGAGGAAACCAGGTGAAATCAGGGAACCAGGTGAAAACTCCTTTAGCTATTCTAGCCAAACCTTAATGGGTGTATCTTTCCACAATTATAGATTTTCACCTCTAACTAAAAAGTTCACAAGGATATTATACTATATAAGAATGAAATAAATGTATATGTATATGTCTGTGTACATGTGCACATGTATGTGTATCCATGCACCAATATATGCTGGGGGCCACCCAGCTGGAAAGCAGCTTGACAGAACAGGAGCCACCAGTTTGCTCTTGCTGCAAAGAAGGACAACACTGTTCTGGGCACATATATAGACAAAATATTGCCAAAGGGAGGTGGTCCTTCCTCTCTACTCAGCACTAGCGGGGCCAAACCTGGATTGCTGTGTGCACTTCTAGGTTCTTCAGTACAAGAGAGACATGGGCATACTGCAGAGAATTCCATGAAACATCATGAAGTTGATGAATGGGTTGGTGGAGCATCTCTCCTATGAGGAAAGGCTGAGAGAGCTGTGACAGTTCATCCTGGGGAAGAGAAGGCTCAGAGGGTATCTTACTGAAGGGAGAGTGCACACAGAGTGGGGCCAGGCTCTTTTCATAGCATCACAGAATCATAGAAAAGTTTGGGTTGGAAAGGATCTTTAAAGGTCGCCTAGTCCAACCTCCCCTGCAATAAGAAGGAACATGAACTAAATCAGGTTGCTCAGAGCCCCATCCAACCTGACCTTGAATGTTTGCAGGGATGGCACATCTACCACCTCTGTGGGAAATCTGTGCCAGTATTTCACCACCCTCATTGAAAAAATTTCTTCTTTCTATCTAGTTTAAATTTGCCCTCTTTTAGTTTGAAACCATTACTCCTTGTCCTATCTCAACAGGCCCTGATAAAAAGTTTGTCCCCATCTTTCCTATAGGTCCCTGAAAAGTACTGAAATGCTGCAATAAGCTCTCCCTGAAGCCTTGTTTTCTTCAGGCTCAACAACCCCAACTCTCTCAGCCTGTTCTTATAGGAGATGTGCTCCAGCCCTCTGATCATCTTCCTGGTTCTCCTCTGGACCCACTCCAACAGGTCCATGTGTTTCCTATGCTGAGGATTCCAGAGCTGGACGCAGTACTCCAGGTGGGGTCTCACAAGAGTAGAGTAGAGTGGCAGAATTAGCTCCCATGACCTACTGGCCACACTTCTTTTGTTGCAGCCCAGGATATGGTCGGCTTTCTAGGCTGTGAGTGCACATTAATGGCTCATGTCCAGCCTTCCATCACCAGTGCCCCCAAGTCCTTCTCGGCAGAGCTACTCTCAAACTATTCATTCCCTAGCCTGTATTGATACTATAGGACCTTATATTTGGCCTTGTTGAACCTCATGAGGTTCATGTGGGCCAACTTCTCAAGCTTGTCCAAGTCCCTCTGGATGTCATCCCATCCCTCAGGCATGCCAACTGCACCACTCAACTTGGTGTCCTCTGCAAACATGCTGAGGGCGCCCTGAATCCCACTGTCTATGTCACTAATTAAGATATTGAACAGGACTGGTCCCAGTATGGACCCCTGAGGGACACCACTTGTTACTGATCTCCATTTGGACATTGAGCCCTTGACTGCTACCCTCTGGATGCAACCAACCAACCAGTTCCTCATCCATCCACCAAACAGTCCACCCATCAAATTCCTGTCTCTACAATTTAGAGAGAAGGATGTTGTGGGGGACTGTGTCAAAGGCCTTACACAAGTCTGGATAGACGACATCTATAGCTCTACCCTTGTCCACTGATGTAGTAACTCCATCATAGAAGGCCACTGGGTTGGTCAGGCAGGACTTGCCCTTGGAGTAGCTATGTTGGCTGTCTCAAATCACCTCCCTGTCCTCCATGCGCCTTACCACATCTTCTAGGAAAATCTGTTCCATGATCTTCCCATGCACAGAGGTGAGGCTGACAGGTTGGTAGTTCCCAGGGTTCTCCTTTTCAGTGGTGCCCAATGAAAGGACAGAGGCACTGGGCAGAAACTGAAACATGGGAGGTTCTATCTGAACATCAAGAAACACTTTTATACTGTGTGACTGGGCCCTGACACAGTCCTTGGAAGTATTCAAATGCTGTTTGGACATGGTCCTGAGCAACTGGCTTTTGGTGTCCCTACTTGAGCAGAGGTGTCAGACCAGATGACCACCAGAGGTCCCTTCCAACCTCAGCCATTCTATGATTTTCTGATTATGTGTGTTTACCATAACATGTCAAAAAAGTCATATCCACAAACTGTCATTAGTAGTTTTGCTTTGTTTTACAGGTACTAATTTTGTTTCATTTTTAAAAGATTAAAATAATTTTATTCCAATTTTATTCAAAAATACTGCTAAAAACTGAGGGCAACTGTGGTACCTCTTAGCCACAAAAAGTAGCTTCTTAGAGTTTTTGAACAACTGACACAATAAAATGTCAGTTCAAGGATTTTTTTTTTTATTTGTTTGTTTCTTAACTTGTTTCTTTATTAACTTAGTGAAGAATGTTATTAAAAATCAGAGGAAACATATTTATGATAAGTTTGTAAATGAACAATTCAAGTAAATAATCTAAACTACTTCAGCCTTACAAGGTTTAAGGCTCCCACCAAATTTTTACTCTCCCTGAATCCTTTAAGAGTGAAAATGAACATAAATTAAGACACATTTTCCATACAGATCAACACAAAGTACTTGGAGCACCTACTGAAAGGAAGTAACTAAATCTTACCTATTGTAACATGAAGTAATTTCTTACATTGGTCAAGCCACCAATCTTTCTAGCTTTACTTGAATGAAGAAATACAAACTGTTTAAGTTTAGCAGATGGTTTCATAATCAAAGGAGCAAAATTAAACTAAAGCTCTATGGCAACATTGCAGGTTCTATTATTTCATTTTCAGCTTCAAGATACTTTCCTTTTAATATGTTAATACAGATTGGCTTCTCCTAAATTCTTCTATTGAATTTTGAATTACATTGTTTGATATCCTATTACTCAAGTCTGACTACATTGCCAATATAATTACTGCACCTTGAAAGTGAAATGAGGTATAACAAAAAACTCAGGCTATAAATTTAAGCTTCATTTTAAGAGGATTTCAGTACAATCTTTCCAATATGTTGATAATCTTTGCAGTCTATGACTTCATCTTTTTAAGTGAATTTGAAAGTTAAGAACCCAAATGTTTTTTTCTCAAAGGTCCAATGATTAGGTTTTAATTTTAACCTTGCTTCTCTCCAGAGAGCTCTTCAGTTAATTTTCAGTGCAATGAAAATGATAGAGTATTTCATTTGATTTATATGTAAGTATAAAATATAGTAGGAAAAATTTCACTTTTTGGTAAAAAAGAGTAAATTTTCACCTCCAGCCCTCAATAATTTTCTGTTGAAATTTTGTTATGTCTTAAATTTAATTTGGAAATAATTTTTAAGTACTTTTTTAGCATTATAGCAGACATTTATTTTACTATTTACTTATCTGAGAAAAAAAAATGGACTAAAGCCTGAATAACAGAACCATAGAAGCATTCATAGGAAGGGAGCTCCAAAGGTCCTCCGGCGGTCAACTAGTTCAACCTCTCACTCAAATCAAGGATAATGCACACTGGATTTGGTGATCACCTGGTCTAGCTAATTCAGGAAAACCTTCAATGAAGAAGATTGCTTAGCCTCTGAAAAACTTGCCGAAGCAGTTCACTCCTTTCCAAGTGATTCTCCCCCGTCTATGCTACACCTTGGGGCGTTTGCCCCTTCTCACATTTTTTGGTGCTGCCAAGAAGAAATTCATTCCATGACCTTCCCTTCAAGAAGTCTGAAGTTGCTATTGGGTCATCACTTATCCTCCTCTTCACCAGACTAAATAAGCCCACTTCCTCATTCTCTCCTCTCCTAGCTGAAATACCATCTCGGTAGCCCATCACTGGACCTTCTCCAGTTTCTTCCTATGCCTTTTGAATTGTGGAGCACAAAACTGGAAACAATATTCCAGCTGCAGCCTTAGCAGCACCAGGTATTATGGGAATAATAACTTCACATGGCCTGCTGACAGAATTTTTCTTGAGGTAGACCAGCATGCAGCTTTCCTCATTCATGCTATTGGGTAATACTCAGCCCAATATCTTTCATAGTCCTCAGGGTTTTTTTTCTGAGAATATTTACTATTCTGTCTGTCCTTAGCATGTTATGTTATCTGGGGTTGCTTCTCTTCAGTTTCACGACTCTGCACTGCTTGGGTATCTATCGGCCCAATCCTCAAGTTTATTGAGGTCACTCTGGATGAAGGGCTGCCATTCATTTTTTCTAATTCTGAACAGTTTTGCTTTTAAACACCCAGAGTATTCAGCAGCAGACGATTATAAAGTGATGAGAGTTTTCACAGTAACAGTGACATTATTATTATTATTGTTATTATTATTATTATTATATTATGAAAATACCTGTGGTGGGAGCAGTGGTAATCTGATGTAAGCAAGTAGCATACTTAGGTCACTGCATCGCCTCTGCATATCATACTTCACCCACATCATTAAGGCATGGAAAATTGTCTCTTCATCAGGAACGTTCACATCATCACTAGCAAGAAGTTTATGGAGTTCTTCAGCCGGTAGAAGTAAAAATTCTTGATTTCTTATAACTTCCATTATGTTCTCCTGAGAAGAAGAAAGCATTTCAGGTTCAGTAATACCGGAAGAAAATAAAAGCAGCCGTTGAAGATAATAAACCTACAGGAATAGTCAATGCTCAGCCTTCTTAGAGCTCATGAGAAAAACAAACCAAAGATGATTAACATTAAACAGCTATAGCTGTAATTCATATATGAATATAAAAACAATATGAAGATTATATGGTAATTCTGTAATTAAAAATTGTCAGAATTAGTAAAGGCTAGGGTAGGTCTGCATATTGTTTGAAATTTTTATAAACTCAGTTGTAATTGAGTACATTCAATATATTGTAAATTTTTACATGCACATACTACATTTTCCTGTATTTTTTCACTATCTGATCTATTTCTTAAATAACTTGTCAGTCATATACAGTTATATTACCAATATCCAGATGACAGCTGTCTATACGTATGACAAGGCTGAGAGGAAGATCAACACCATTATTTCCTGAATTTGTTTGAAGCAGATTATTAACATCCAGCTAACATGCAAAATGTATACACCAATTAAAATCTCACAGTATTGACGTTTATAATACATATAGGAATAACTGTAAAACCTAAAAACAATCTATATAAATGATATAGAAACATATAGAAATAAACTATATGAACTAAACAATAATGATTCATTTTGTTGACTGAATTCTGAAAACTGAATTAAGCGCTCTCTGAACTACCAACACCACATTAACATGACATAACAGAAGCACAGTTCTGCAGGTTATCTTTCTCCAAATATTTATTTTAGGGTGCTTGATGTCTGTGGAGAAATTGCAAATGTGTTCTCATATTCTTGATTCATAGAAAATTGTAAGAAGAAAGTGAAGTAGGTATAGACTGGAGGCACAAGACCCTCCTCCTGGAAAAAATCTGATTTTTTGACACAAAACAAAAGTGTAAAAAGTGTTGGAGGGAGAAGTAAGTTACAATATTGGATAGATAAAAGATAATAATAAATTTCCTATGAATTTCCTCCAGCTTATGCAATACAAGGAAATTATTATTTTAGTTCTCCAGCATCATATTTTTTACAGTTACTGCTTAACAGAACCTATTTAAAACTAACTGCAGGTTATTTTATATAAGGTAACAGAGATGACTAATACAGATATAAACATGCCAAAATCATGACAGACAGAAGTTAATCAAAATGTGTAATGCAATTACACATTAAATACATATGTACAAATAGAATAAATTAGCTAACCTGAAAGTGATGCTTATTAATATGAATATGAACACTTTTACATGCAAAACTTAACTTTCAATTAGTAACTTTTAAACTCTACATATACATCAAAAAAAGAATGCTGACACAACAATCAAAGGTATATATTTATGGTCACGGCCTGTATTAACCATGCTGTTAAGTTATCTTTACATAATTGATGATTAGATGAAAACATGACTCAGTTCTTTTATAAAATTGCTGTATGAAATGTCAATAGGTACCTAAAAACCTAGATTTTTATGGCCTAAAGCTTTAATCTGTTGACTCTTGATAAAGTTTAAATTGTGTGACTAGAACAATCTATAGCTTGGAAATGTAAGGGAACTAGTTTGTAGGCACTTAACCACAAGTTGGCTTAATTCATTTTAATTAAAAAGCTATAAATCTCAGATAATTTCATTGCATTTCTCACTAAAATGATTTCTAAGCCAAAGTTTAATTAAGGCTGGTTAAACTGGCACTAAATCCCATTATGAAAAAAATATAACTCCACTTCTTAATAGGAACCAACATCAAACTTTGCAATAGCATATTAATCCAAAGACCTAATATTATTGAGAAGCATTGTGATGGTGGAATACAATTTATGAACTCCTAGAACTTAATTAATTTTGAATAACACCCAGAGCAGGGGCTTTAAATTCAGAATAATAATTTTACATTTGATTAAGATTTTTTATCATTTTTAATTGTCTTTTCATTTGGATATATGCTTAAGGAGAACTTATTCCAGACTCTGTACTGATTTACCATTGACTGAAAGTAGAATCTAACAAAGTTTTCAGACAAAACCTACAAGCTCAAAAAAAAAAAAACCAGCAATAAAATTCAAATTCTTAATCTTTAGAACTAAAAACTTTCTCCTTAAGTACTTAGCATTTCCTAAACTGACTATTGAAAGTTTAGAATTTCCTAGATCACATTTTAATTGCTTGAGATTCATTTCATTTGGAGCAGCAAAGCATATTTCAAGGGCTTGCTGTTTTATCACAGAATCATAGAAAGATTTCAGTTGCAAGTGACCTTGAAGATCATCTAATTCCAACCCCCCGGCCATGGGCAGCAATGACCATTTTACTAAAACCCCATCCAACCTGGCCTTGAACACCTCCAGAGAACAGGCATCCACAACTTCTCTGGGCAACCTCTTCAAGTGTCTCACCATCCTCACAGTAAAGAATTTATTCCTAGTATCTAACGTAAATGTAACCTCTTTCAGTTTAAAATCATTACCTCTCATCCTATCACTACACTCCCCAATAAAGGGTCCCTCTGCATCTTTCCTGTAGGCCCCCTGGAAGTACTGTAAGGCTGCTATAAGGTCTCCCCGGAGCCTTCTCTTCTCCAGGCTGAACAACCCCAACTCTCTCAGCCTGTCTTCATAGGAGAGGTGCTCTAACACTCTGATCACCTTCATGGCCCTTCTCTGGACTCAGTCCAACAGGTCCATGTCCTTCTTGTATTAGGGCCGCCAGAGCTGGACACAGAACTCCAGGTGGGGGCTCACGAGACCGGAGTAGAGGGGCAGAACCACCTCCCTCGACCTGATTGCCCCATTTATTTTGCTGCAGCCCAGGATATGGTTGGCTTTCTGGGCTGTGAGTGCACATTGGCAATCATCTTATTTTCCATGTGTCTTAGCATAAGTTCCAAGAGGACCTGCTCCATGGTGTTACCTGGCAGAGAGGTGAGACTGACTGGCCTGTAGTTCCCTGGCTCTTCCTTTTTGCCCCTTTTTACAAATGGGGTTTTTATTTCCCTTTTTCCAGTCAGCAGGA